AGTTTACTAAACGGTGGCAACCTCTTTAAGTTATTCTTGACTGTGTTGGATTGACTGCTTTGATGCATTGCAATACGGTAGGGGCATTGTTTTGATGCTTACATCAGAAAAAAAATTATTTTGCTTTTATTTATTTATTTCATATATATTTTTTTTTTGGCGCCCTTGACTCAAGAGTCAAATGTCGCCCATGGTTGCTGCTGATATCAGTTGTCCACAACCATGTCACTGTTCACAGTTGTTTGCTTTTTTATACAGTGATCAGATACCTGTCTGTATAGGAACCTGGACCACAGATGAGTCCTGCTGACTCAAACTCAGTCTCTGTTTTTTTCTGAGAACACTTTACCAACTCACAAGAGTCACAAATACAAATGGACAAAGCTGTACAACTACATTGGACTGATATTTTATATGAACATGGTGAAGGTGAGCTCCATCACTGACTACTGATGGAGGGGAATTTTTTTATTCAGTGCATGAAGCAGCAAACACCTTGGAAATAGCAGGTATATTTCACTTGTATCTACTGTTGAACAGGATCTGTTTCCAGGAATGGCACAAAGTTGTGTGACTCTTCAAAACTGTGTGTTCAGATCAGTCTCCTAAATAATGTGCCTCATTGTTTATATTTTGTTTATGCTGTGTTATATATATATTGTAAATAAACTACAAAAAAAAAAACATTTTATTATCACCTCACATTCATTTTTACCTGCCTCACAGTGTAGCGTGTGGACCAATCAGACACACAATTATTTGTTATATTCAACAAACAATCCCTAACTCCCCTCACCCAACCAACAAGCCAACTATGAGGGTATATGGACCCTTCTCCCGAAATGCAACTAACACCTCAAAAAGGCAGAACAGGCCTCTGGTTCCATGGCAACAAAAGACAAATCATCTGATAACACTGGTTTTATTGCTCAAAGGAATGCGGGCAAAGCAACTCTCACTCATTTTCCTCATAGGAAAGACATAATGCCCATAGAAATGGACTCTTCTCCTAATGAATTCATAGACAAACCTTTCTTTGAATGAACATGCATATCCTCAGGTCCTTGTGTATATTATTACTGTTCTTGTATATTGTATATTGTATATGTTATATATTTTGTATTGTATACTGTTTTATGCGTGCGTTATGATAGATCAGTAGTTAATATAACCTCACATATACCATGTTTGGTATCTATGAGTTTGTATTTTCATGATCTAAATGCGAGTATAAATTATATGTTGATACCCATGCAACATGTTGTCATGCCCCTGGACTGTCTGAGTGTGTTTTTGCTCCCCATGTGCTCCCAGTGA